TATATATATATAAATCACTGTAAGTGCGCGTGATCCAGGTATATGCTGATAACCAAGGAAAAAACACAAGTTCGCCAAATACATCTTCAGGGTGTATTTCTCCTTAGTCTGTACTCACCCTGAAGATATATATATATATATATATATATATATATATATATATATATATATATATATATTATATATATATATATATATATATATATATATATATATATATATATATATATATATATGGGCCAGCAAAATAAATTAACCTAACCTCAGGTCTCGAGTCCAGATAATCTGTCCTTGCCGCTACAGGGAATAAGTTAATTATCTGATTAATTGATGTTGATTCACTTGAAAATCGTCACTCAAGATCACACTGGTTCAGCTTAACAAAAAGCACAGACACACAGACAATAATAAACAGCGTATCGATTCACTGGAATCTTATTTCCGCCACAGCTTAAGTTACTTTTGTGTATCCTGGTATTTAAACCTCGAGTCACTCACTGGACAATTATCAATATAGTAGTGAATCAGGTGGGCTAGTGGTGCTACTCTACAGTATATGTTTACACCTTTGTTATTGTACTTCACGCCTTTATTTGATACAACTGCTATTTCTACTGCTACTACTACTAATAGTAATAACTTTTACAACAATAATAATTTACAATAGTAATCAAAATTATTACAATAAAAATATGAGGACAGGTCATGAGTGAGGATGAGTTGTGTGTCGGTCAGGAAGGTGAGGAGCAGTGAGGCTATTTCTGTCTTACCTTCACCTATCTTATTTTGGTGCGTCTTGATTATAACACACACACACACACACACACACACACACACACACACACACACACACACACACACACACACACACACACACACACACACACACACACACACACACACACACACACACACACACACACACACACACACACACACACACACACACACACACACACACACACACACACACACACACACACACACACACACACACACACACACACACACACACACACACACACACACACACACACACACACACACACACACACACACACACACACACACACACACACACACACACACACACACACACACACACACACACACACACACACACACACACACACACACACACACACACACACACACACACACACACACACACACGTATTAAGAAACGACGCCCCATGTCTGCCCTGACTATGTACACACAAGTTGTATATTCACAATAGCTTAATGTGACTCAAATGCACTTATCACACTCTAGCTAATTCTGTACATACTTAAGTGAGGGCGAGCAACATGCACCAAAAATACACTGGACCTTCCCGCTTGTGGTCCCCGTGATTAATATATCAGTAATATTTCTATTTTGGATAATATTTATGTTCCCGATGTGATGAACTTAAACTAATGAGAGTTGGGATGAAGGGCGTTCAATTTAGATTAGCTGCGGCGGAGGTGATGGCCAGGTAGGGAGGGCCCTGGGCTGTGATTGGTCGAGATTTCTGAGGGGTTAGTGATGGTACACAAGATATAAATTGAGACTGGTTGAGATAGCCGAGAGGGTTATTAATTTAGTATCAAAAGCAAACTGAGATTAGTTCAGATTGCTAAGGAGTTCATGACGTGGGGTAGAGGCTGGGCTATGATTACTGAGATATCTCTGGAGTTAGTGAGGAGACTCAGACAAGGAGTTGTGATTAGTTGATATTTTCACTAGGTTAATGATGTAATACAGAAATTAAATTGTGACTGGTAGAGATTTTTAAGAGCATAGAAGCCTGGCTGTGACTGGTCGAGGTTTCACACAGGAAATGACAGAGCGTAAAGGTTAATAATGGTATGTTGATGTGAGTGTGACGTCAATAACTTAAGGCTGAATTAACATTAACTGATTCTGATTGAGGCATCTCTCTCTAGTCCTGTCTCTCTTTAGTTCTGTATATCTCTCTCTCTTTAGATCTGTCTGTCTTTCTCATTAGCTTTGTCTGTCGAACTCTTTCTCTTTCTAGCAGTCAATTATATATAAGGAAATTGGGGAGGGACATAAAATGTTAAAAGTAGGAATAAATGTAAGAACAAATGGATGGTGCAGGAGCAATTAGAAACAGGGAAATTAAGCACGATAGTAATTAGAGTGGAGATATGAGAAAGAGAGAAAATTACAATGTTGACATTAATCAAGGTTATGTGTATACTGTGAGGGTGTGAATATCAGGTTTGAAAACAACAGGGGGGGGATGTGGAGACAGAACAGGAAGTTATTGGGAAGATAGAGATGTAAACCGCTCTAATGGCAGCTGGGGATTGAATAATTCATTGGGGAGGATCTGGTAGATATGCTGACAAGGAACGAGTTGACAGTGGTAAAATCCTTCTTCGAAAAACGGGAATCACATAAGGCAACATCTGAGAGATACAGCAGTAGGAGTAAGATTACTTAGTTGATGCTTAAGGGAGATCAGCTTTGGAGGGTGAGGGACTGTGGGGCTTTCACGGAGGAGCACATAGTACTTCAGCCTAAGCCGTAGGTGTTTGAGGTGATAATTAGAAAGGGCAAACAGACGTCAAGAGGAGAATAATTATAAGGTGGCGGTGTAGATGTGACGAGAAAGAGAGAGAGAGAGAGATGGAGAGGAAATATAGAAAATACTAGTAATAGCGTTAGCATGAAGAAATAGGAGAGAGAAGGAATTATAAACCATAAGAATATCAAGTAGCATCAAAGAAAATACTGGGGACATAAGTAATACCGATTAGCAGTTATATTTCAGGAACACCGGCACTAACGAAACAAGAAGATAAACTACAGAGGATAATTGGATTCGAATAAAATATTGAGTAAAATGATGGAAAAGGAGGATGACGGGGATGAGAGAGAAAATTGGGGAAGGAAGAAGCATTTTAGAACAAAGCAAGTTGGTAGCATAATAACCTTGAGAGCAATACATATACTGAAGAGAATACAAAGACTAAGAAATAAAGACGGGAAGAAAAGATATCAAGCAGAATGAAGAGTCGGGAAGACAACATATCAGGGTTTTCTCAACCGCCTTGGCTATAATAGAGATACTGGGAAGTGAAAAAAAAACTGGTCGATAAAATGTAAAATACGGAAGTGGCTGGTAGGAGGGAGAGAGGTGAAGGAGATGGAAGGGTGAATTGTGTGCATATAAGTGGTTGATGCTGGATTGTGTGAAGCGACAACAGTAAACCTGATGAATAATTATGGTCTTACTATGAAATGGGAGTACCATAGCATCAGCACCAGCAGCCGCAGCAACAAGAATGATTGAAGGGCATTATAGCGAAAAAAAAAAGAAACGCTTTGACCTTCAGATTTACTGGGTTGGAATGCACTTTTCCTGTTATTAGATGGATTCAGCACATGTTTTATTTATTTTTTTTGTGTGTTACATAGGCAAATAAATCCCAAGGTTTGTAGGTGTTTTCGGCATGAATCCATCTTTCTATTGGTAAATTATTTCCATCCTTGCTTATACTGTAATTATTTCTATTAACAAGATATAATTCCTGCTTTACACTGGTTCGTGGTAAATAATTTCATCTTTACAGCAGTGAATCATAATAAAATCCTCTTCTTGTAAACGCTGTTGGTAAATAAATCTTCACCATGAATGTGCTGTTTCGCGAATAAATTCCAATCTATTACTACAAAAAAACCCGCTAAAACGTAAACTCCTTCTTTATACCTATCGAGGCCGATATATAAAACCTACCAATCCTACCTGCCCTTCATACTTGAGTAAATCCTTCCCCGGAGACGACACCCCAGCACGACCCATTTGCCAAATGGATTTACCAAAGGCTTCTTATCCTCGCCATGAAGAAACTCCAGCAAGATCAAGTATTTATTTCCGTCGGAACATATCGTCATCCCTGGAGGTCAGCACAACGAGCGACTTTCGCAGAAGACCGGAACAATATACGCCACAAAAAACTGGGAAGTGGCCATGACGCAAAGAGAACGAAGCTTCGGCGTCAAAACAGGTAAACAACGAAAGGGTGAGATCCTTTATAAAAAAAAACGACGTTAAGTTGGCGAGTGTTAGATCGAAGGAAAAAAAACACCTCTAGAAAATGAATCTACAGCAAAACAAATGGTGTCAGGAACTGATTGAATCTCTTTTGGAACGAGCGGTAATTGCAGATTAAAATGTTATTATAGAAAAGAAAGTACAAAATAATGAGACTGTAAGGGGAACTGATCTCTCATGATTTATAAAGGACAGAATGTCTTGCATGAGAGAGAGAGAGAGAGAGAGAGAGAGAGAGAGAGAGAGAGAGAGAGAGAGAGAGAGAGAGAGAGAGAGAGAGAGAGAGAGAGAGAGAGAGATTGATTGATTTAATAACCTCAACAATATCATGAATAGAACAAGGTGCACTTGTGAATATCTGCTAAGACAAGACCCCCAAAATAGGATTTGTTCGTCATTAATAATAAAACCTTAGAATTTTATCTTTAATTGGATTATTAAGTATGGAAATGGGGTAAGGTAGGGAGGAGACTGTAAGAAAGTGAGGGATAGTGGGAGGATGAGAGACAGTGGAAGATGGTGAGAGACAACGAGTGGCAATGAGAGACAGTCAAATGTAAGGAAATATAAACAGTATAACTGGGAGAAAAATGGGGACAGTCATAGAGAGAGAAACCGCGGGAGAAAGTGGGAGATGAGATAAATTGAAGAGATAGTGTGAGACAGAGAAAAATATATCACAGAAGAGTGAGAGTCAGTGATAGAAAATGAGATACCATGAGAAAGAGACAGAGATAAAATGATATACAATGAGAAACAGCGAAAAAGAGATACAATGGAAGCGGGGAAGGGGGGGAGGGGGGGGGGAGGGTGTTACAGGGAGAAATGACAGGAGACAGTGTGTGAAAGGCTGCGGGAGATGGCAAGTGACTGTGAGAAGGAATGGGAGATTATAAAAGACAGTAAGAGAAACTAACTGTAGTAGGTACTCACACATGACGACCATAGAGGCTGTAGAGGCTTCAGTACGGAAGCTCGGGTGCTCAGCTATCACTTCACACCGGTAATGACCCGAGGCTGACACAGTCAACTTCGTCAGCGATAAAGTCACCTGCTGCTCGTTCCTGACCAATTCCTGAAATTAGTAAATGTCACAATGTTAAGGCAATAAACAAATAATAATGTTAGATGGATTATACTACTACTAATACAGTAATAATAATAACATAATAATTTCTTGGTTCCACTCAAATGTATTTTGTCATTAGTGAAGGCAAGACATATTGTACTTGTTAATCATAAATTACTTATGAATGTTCAAATACTTTATAGGAAACTACAGGGTCATATTGAGTGATAAAACGCTAAAACAAAATTGGTCAAGAATTATCATGTTTATACTCATGGCTATTGATTAGCTTAACTTATTATGAGGTGGATGAAGAGATACAAAAACATTAAATAAATGAGGAAATAATACAGTTAATGAAGAGAGACAAATGAAACAGAGAAAAAAAATGAAAGCGAGTGCAAATACCCCTCCCCTCCCCCAACCCACACACACATACTAACACAGACATCTCCTTAACTTGCATGTGTACAAAATATATCTCTCGTAACTATATTGATTCACGACGCAATAATTATCCTGTTTATGATACTCAGTCGTTCTTCGGGTGTTTTTTAATGTGATGTAAACAGACCTTACTAATTCACCAGCATGTTATATAAATTTATTTCTTGGTTCTTCCTATTGCTCTTGTGCCTTCAACTGAACTCTAGGGTAAGATAATGCAATGCTACGTAGGTGAAGGGCAGGTTACTGTAATGTTGGGTAGGTGAAGGGTAGGTTACTGTAATGTTAGGTAGGTGAAGGGCAGGTTACTGTAATGTTAGGTAGGTGAAGGGCAGGTTACTGTTATGTTGGGTAGGTGAAGGGCAGGTGACTGTAATGTTGGGTAGGTGAAGGGAAGGTTACTGTAATGTTGGGTAGGTGAAGGCAGCTGTAATGTTAGGTAGGTGAAGGGCAGGTTACTGTAATGTTAGGTAGGTGAAGGGCAGGTTACTGTTATGTTGGGTAGGTGAAGGGCAGGTTACTGTTATGTTGGGTAGGTGAAGGGCAGGTGACTGTAATGTTGGGTAGGTGAAGGGAAGGCTACTGTAATGTTGGGTAGGTGAAGGGCAGGTGACTGTAATGTTGGGTAGGTTTAGGGCAGGTTACTGTTATGTTGGGTAGGTGAAGGGAAGGTGACTGTAATGTTGGGTAGGTGGTATGGTTTGTTACTGTAATGGTGGGTAGGTGTATGGTAGCTTACTGTAATGTTAGGTAGCCGTTGGGTAGGTTACTTTAATATTGGGTAGCTGTCGGGTAGGTCAGTTTAATATTGGATAGGTGTAGGTTAAGTTAAGGTAAGTATTGCTTTGGCTAAGGCGCTAAGCTCATGCTCTAGGGACAGGGGAAGTTAAAGTTAAAGTTTCAGATATAGGGTAGGTTCTAAGTTAGCAAGGGTACATACCTTTATTTAGGTCAAGTTAAGTTCAGGATGGGTTGCAAAAATTCTTCGGGTCAAGGTCGAATGTAGCTTCAGGTTAGGTAAGGTTCAGTTAGGTTTTAGTGTAGTTCAAGGTTGATTTAGTTAAGAATTAAAATTTAAGTGTAAGATTGACTAAGTCACGTTTAATTGAGGTTCAGGTTTACAATGTCATGTTGGTTTTAATTGTAGGTTACAGACAGATTAAATTAAGGTTTCAATTTAGGTCTAGGATAAGCTAAATTGATTAGAAGATGTGGAGGAGCATTAGCTTACGCCATGGTTGGGAAGGACCAATCAGCACCCGTCCTACCCACATACAAGTAGTGCATTGCACAAAAGCTCGACCCTTTGACTTCGTGTCGTCTCAACATTTAATTTAGCTGTCCACCATATCAATCTTCAGTTAGACCTTATTTTTCTCCCCGGACGAATCAAACTCTTTGAGGAAACCTCTCTTATAAGCCTTCATTTTCACTGGAAACTTGCCCGTACATGATGAAACGAAGCCATAATTTAATTATCTGGTCAGAGGGCCCATCGTGTCACGGCTTCCCCTCCAAGTAAGATGAGGAAAACAAATGATTGGTGAAAAAACAACACTGGAATTAACTCAGGGTTGTATTGTAAAACCTGTACTCAATGTTGTCAACAATTTCTTGTTTTAAAATAAGAAGTATTTTGGTTTATTTATATTATTAATGAAAATGCTATTTATATGTTGACTAATTTAAACAGAATATGGATATAAATTTTCCAGAAATTCAAGGCAATAGCCCATTTAAAATAAGTAATGGTCTGCGTGTGATATAGTTACCGAAAAATAATCCATATATCCAATGTATATTTCAACAGTGAATATATCTTTTCTCGCTTAAATCACACAACTCGAGAACTCTGAAACTTGTTTACATCAGTAACGACAAATTCATATACTGTATATTAGTTATGTGACCGACTAATGAGGTATTGGTCGATTGAAAAATTACCTACCCAGGGGACGTGAGGCTGGTAGTCACACTTATTCTTATTAAGTTACTGAACAGATTTACGGCATTGTTTGAGGAAGGAATTGAAGAACAGAAAACAGAACAGTAATGGAAGAATGCAAAGTAATAATTTTGGGGAATTAACATAAGTTGTGACGAGGGAGAAAATAAAGAGTTGTAGGACATGAGTTGCCAGTCAAAGGAGCGAAATATAAGCTGAAAGATGTACAGTAGATGTACTAAGACGACCTGGTCCCGGAGAGTACAACCACATAATGCTTAAAACCAAAGGCGAAGGAGTATAAAAACAATGTGAAACAGGAGTGAAGAACACAAGAAACCACACAAACACCAGACAACACTCACGGTAACATAAAACTTGTGGCTGGGTTTGATGTAGATGGGCCTGTTAAGTTCGGTAGGGACGTAGCGGTAGAACTCCGTGCCATTGTGGTACCACTTAAGAGAATAGAGTCTGGTGGCCCGGAGGTCGTAGGAGCAACTCAGAGTAGCCTGATCCCCAACGAAGGCATATTGGGGCACGTGCAAACCAATGACCAGATCCCCAGCGATACCTGTGGAGGATAACTCAGTCTTGTTATGTGTGTCCTCGGTAGTTTCCGAGCAGATCTCCAGCAGCACCTGGGACAGGGTAAAATACTACAGACACAATACTTCATAAGACTAACACACTTCTCCCTCTCCTCACAACACCGTGACAGGTGGATCATAACATAAGTAGGTTTAGATGTTTTCAAAACAAAGGGATGTAGTTTTTATCATCAAGGGAATAGTTTCACGGCTTTCTTCTCTGAACATTCTAGTTAATTGATACGTGCGTCATCCATGCACTTGCTATTTTGTTTAAAATTTACGACAAAACCTTTTGAGTTGCTAACTTGCTATGTACCCAACTTTTGAATTGTTATTTTTATCTGAAAGGTTTATCAAAAGGATCTTTACATATAAGGAATCAGATACCGAATATTTTGTCAAAGAAATACAAAAATTATTTCTCGTAACAACGATAACGAAGCTTTAAGTGTTTCTGATCCCAGAGACGACTGGGTAAACAGTAAACAGTAGATACAAACACTTGAACTAATCCTCATGAAAAAAAAAAAATAATAACAATATACAGTAATGCATGGTGCAGTAAAGCTTAATATTCCACAAAACACACACACACACACACACACACACACAGCTGGTCCGCTGAAGTCACCAACTCGTTCCGAGAATAAAAAAGTAAACATCAACAAACTCCTCTTTATCCACCTTCAATGGCATAAAACAGTTGATCCACGAATGTAAACAAACTCCTTATTCCCCTAGTGTTGCGAGAGGCTGCGAGGCCTTCAGCGTGTCTCATCCCATTCACCAGCTTGCTACATCATCACCAAAACCCAACATTAATTTGCCTGACTTTTGAATCCGTGAGATATGTTCCTCAACGCAGATAGACTTTCCTTATGTCCGGGCGTGACTTAGGATATGTGGGGTGTTTGCGCTGTACTGGTGGTAGACGTGTCAGGTTAATTCATCACATATTAAGAATTTGCACCAGACAGAAATATTCTCCAATTCCTTAAAATGTCACATAAATGAAGGTTATTTAATTACGAATTATTAAATACTTCTCTAAACCTTTCACATTGCACAACAGAAACGTGAGTGAGTTGGAGATCTTAAACACTGATTCAAGAAGGGAAATTGTAGATTTAATTTTTGTATCGCTGTTGTAGCCAGGAGGCAAGGCCAACTCGTTCTGTCCCTCTTGCGAGGCGTTTCACACAAGGAACATTCTGAGGATCACAGCGAATAAAATTATCTGAATGTGTAATCGTGGGTAAAAAACTACTTACTGTAGAAAAAATGACCGAGGACGCTTGCACGCGCACAAGCATGATAAGGTGGTGCTTCGTCAAGTGCCAGCCATCTAGTGGTCCTCATCCGGCCTGCCTCCACACCTCTCCACTTAATGGGACCCAACATAGGGGGTAATGATGGATATGGGCTAAAATGTACTATATTCAGTTATTAGTTACTGATAAACATGCCCATGGTCAACTAAGAAGAAAAGATGTCTACATCGTAATGCCAGTGTTAGCACTAACGTACCAATCGACGCTAAACTCGGGAATAGACGGATAGGTAACAATGTCATAGGGTGAATAACATACACAGCTTCATGAAACCGTAGGGTAGGGGATAGTAGACTACATGTAGTATATGGGTACATCAAGGAACCAGATCCCACAACTTAGTATGTGGTAAACTGATCTATTCGGTGGCTAGGTACCGGCTTGTCGGCTACGGCGACCTCAATCCCAAGAACACTCAGTCAATTGCAGCGTAGATCCACGGATAGTACAGTACATATACTGTATTACTGACAGGGTTAACTATTGGTTCTACGAAATTATTCTATAGGAATATATATTGTGTACAAATTTCATGTATTAGAACAAAAGTCTCATGTGAGGATCGAGTGACTAATAATATGTGAATCGAATTTGTATAGAATGAATGGTAGGTTATGACGGTATGAATGGTTATCCCACACAGTGCGGAACAGACCGCTATAATCCTGGTGATGATAACCAGATCTTCGAATATATTTCATTAATGTCGACATACACAAGCAAGACAAACTAGACCACAAACTATGACAGACCCTCATGGACCACCTCAGTAAACTACGAGTATACCCCACCGTATAGTTCAGGGAGGCGGTCTATGAGGGAACTGCCGGTTATTGAATGTCACCACTACAGACTAACGTATCATTATAAACGTGAGTATTGTGAGGATCACAGGGGGCGGGTGAGGTTCACTGGGGGTTGGTGAGGTTTACAGGGGCTGGGTGAAGATCACAGTGGGTGGATGAAGATCACAAGGGGGTGGGATGAAGATCCTGGCTGGGAGACACCCTGAGCATGGTCAACATCACATGTACAAACACTATAACTTGCAATATATCGCTGGTACCGTATGTTGCAACGATGCTTTACCTCTTTTTGAAAGTGGAAATCAACGCAAATCTTGAAGTTATTATCCTTTGACAAAACCACAATCAACACTGTAAACTAAAAGAAAGATACTCACCGTTGACATATATTACCGCGAGGAGACACACACGCTGCAGGTTGGTGTTGGACAGCCAGCCATGCATTTTTGGCATGTGTCCTCTGGTCTTGAAATCGCCAAAAACCTCGATATTTACGCGATTTACCAATGTGTTCACCATCAGATATTATACTAATATAGTATAATCAACATATTGGGGAGTTACTTCAGACATTGATATAAATGCAGTTGTTATATTGAAGTTTCAAGTGAATGTTCCTGTACGGAATTAGCGATGTCAACACACGTGTGTGGAAGACGAAGGAGGCGAGCTGGCACGTCTATCCCTCACGCCGGTCAGACACACACTGAGGGTTGATGCTACTAACCTACAAATGACTTAGAGAATTCGTTTTGCTACGCCTTCCTTGATTATTCCTAGCTGTAAACTGGTACCTCTTTATTCCTTTGAGTTTGTATGTATGTATGAAGATGTATGGATATATTGATATTAGCATACTCATACGAAAATCAATATACAGAATAAATACATGCACAGATAAAGACGCGCGTGCCCAAACATATTTACTCTGCACATAGAAATCACACACACAAACACTACCTGAACCATTCTGCTTCCTCTTCTTACTACTACGACTTCCGTTGCTACTTGTGAACTTTTAATGTAGTTTAACAGCAAAACATAATCAGTGCTCCCACTGTGCAGTGAATGGCTTTGCAGCACCCGATGAAACCATTCACATCTTACTGACACAAAACGTTGTTCAGGTTGAAGCCAGTTATCATTATATAATTTTCAGTTCCCAAATTATATTGATTAAGCAGCGTTGTCTGTTTGTAATTCTATCTGTTAAAGTGCATTCCTTAAGGATAAATATGACATCAAATTGGGATATAATCGATGTCTACAGTGATTATGGATTGCAACAATATAGTTTTTTTTTTTAAGTGTAGTTTACAGGGCCGAGTGGATACAGTACCTACCTCCTATTTTAAGGGTCGCTGGTTCACTCCCAATTCACCAAACTATGAATAAGTATCAAAGTTAATTGGTGGAGAAAGTGAAGGCGGTCACGTGAAATGCCGGACACACTAGCAATTTGTGTACCGAAAAAGGTTTAGAATAGAGTCTGCTGTTTCAGCACTGTCCCTAACAGGTCGTCAGGCTGCGGGACCCAGTTTCACATCAACGTAAGGGATGTGGCGGGTGAATGGATAGATTTTTTAGATTGAGTAAGTGCTCGCCTTCTATCCTCAGGGTCACCAGTTCACCCCGAGTCGCCCTCGCTCTATAACACCTCCACCCCCACCCTTCTTGTGGAGGACCTCAATGCCCTGCACTCCAGTCTCCCGGGGTAACTATTGACTTTCTTACCTGCAAACCACTGATGACCCTGTTACCAACACCTCTTCCCCTCCTGACCAGATCTCCCTCCTAATGCCACGCTTTGCCATAAACAGATGAATTGTACCGGGAATTTTCCCCCCACACATTCATCATTCTGTCACTTTATGTAACTTGCTGACAAAACCCATGGCCCTTCAGGCCTTTACGCCCTTAATGCATGAGTCATGAAGGCAAGCATGAACTACGCATGCTTCCCAGATGGGCGCTGTAATCGCTTCACCTTGCATCCCAATAAACTAGCCCCCTCGGGGAAAAAAGTTTTCAGCAGTAAATGGGCGTCTAACTTTACACTTGGTAAGTCGAGAGCCGTCGAATATAGTGCTGGTACGCCGCCTATCTACCGAAGGCTTGTAATTCATTGTATTGTATCCACACTGTCCTTAACGGACAGTGGAACCCATTTTCACTTTCAGAGCAACGAACTAAAGAAAATTATTGGTGATCCCACTGTGACGAGCAGTCATACAGTTGCTGACGAGATATACAATTTGGACTAATATAAATATTATTATATGATTTTCAATTTCCAGATCACAGTAATTTCGCAGTGCTTACCAGCCTTGAAATCTATTTATCTATCAGAGATTTTTTGGCTCTAGCATAGGAAATACTTTATTTTTATTTTTATTAATTGTTTTTTACGGGGATTAGCCCACCCTGGCACAGGTCACTGACCCACATCGGGCCTGGGGGCGAAAATGTATAATAATAATACAGTCGCGGTCTGACCACGTAAGAGGACAAACGTGTGCCCATAGGTGCTCCTGTCCTCCCGCTCGTCACACAAAGACCACCTCAGTCTCTACCTACCCCTTCGCCGGCAAGTATTCCCAGCGATGGGTCAACGTAAGCGCCCCAGAAGAGGCGTCCCCTCTCTCATGGATACAGACATTTCTCAGACGGATAGTCATAGTGCATCCCACACCCTGCAAGAGTCAGACCTCAGCGATAATGACAGTAACAGTAATGTTTCTATGGGAAACACTTGCCGGAGTGGCAACACCAATGCCAAGGGCAGCGACTCTCCCCTCGACACCCACCCCCCTGCCAACCAGCCAAGTAAATTGTATCTGCACTTCCCCAAGGACTTATTGAAAACAGTCGAGGACTGGTTTAATTGGACAACAAAGTATTGGAGACAGCACGGTCTCATCATTCAATTCCGAAAAGGTAAGAAACGTAACTTTATCAGGTGTCAGACACCCGAGGCCTATGAAACACTCAGTACTGTTGGATTTGACGGGGTTGTCCTCGTGCCTCCACCTGCTAACGCAGCAGAATGTTGCCACATCCTAGTTAAACAGTTCCCCCTATATGCTGAAGTCGAAGATGCTCATAACTTTAATCCACGTATACTCAGTATACATCGACACTACCAAGGGAAGACCCCACAAGCAGCTGTCATAGTTAAATGGAAGGGGTGGGAGTGCCCAACCACTGTTGATGCCCACCTTTCCTCCCCCCACTGTACGCTGAACCATATCACCCCGGGCCTGCTTTTTGGGTCATCTGCTCCAATTGGGGTCACACCTTCACCGCCTGCTGCCGACGTGATTGTCCCAGATGTCGCTTCTGTTCACGTAATCATCACTCCTCCGTCTGTGCCTCAAAAATCAAAGACCACCTCAATGGGCGTGGTGTGGGCCATGTTGTTGACCCCAGGTGTTGTAATTGTGGTGGCTGGCACAATGCTGACTCATGACAATGCCCCAAACGTCCGTCTGTCCCAGGAGAAAAGCCTCCCCGAAGGCTGCATCAATCTCAACCTCTCCCCCAGCCTACTGAGCCACATCCCTCTGCGTCCCCTCTGTCTCCAGCAACGCCTTCTTCAACGACACCTGCCCCTGCCTGGCCTCACCTGGCTGTAACACAGCAGTCCCGGCCGTCTCCTAACTCAACTACAACTGGGCCTCCTCTCCGTCTCTACTCTGACGCTGCCAGGCCTTGTGCCTCCACCGGTACCCCCCCACAACCCCCTCCGGTGACACGACACAGATCATATCCCTCTTACACGAATTTACGAACCGTATTGAAAGACTCTTTGATACACTCTGTACCGCCATCTCCAACCTACACAGACTACCCTTGCCTCCAGCTGCTACCCAGTCACCCCCCTCTTCTGGTCTGACACAACCTGGTAGCCCCCCTGTGTGCCCCTCATCTCACTGACTACTCCACCACAACCTGGCACCACTGCTGGCGTCCACACCGAGCCCGCCCCGTGCCCGGCTGTCCCCGTCCACCCACTGCGCGCTCATGGACCCGAGGACACCACCCTCGGCTCCCCGTCCCCCACTGGCATGTCGGCACCTGTGGCCCATCCACTCCAGTTCTCCACATCAATTGACCACCATGCGGACATGCTAGTGGACTACGTATCTATGCCAAGAAGGACGTCTCCTACCAACCTCTTGACGTCCCCCTTGAAGCCGACACAACCGACGTACACGCCATCACTATCACACTAAAAGGTATGTCCCTCAATATTGTCAATGCCTATGGCCTGACACTTGACATTATTAGGGACCTGTCACGTTTTGCCATAAACAGATAAATTGTACCAGGAATTTTCCCCCCCACACACTCATCATTCTGTCACTTTATGTAACTTGCTGACAAAACCCATGACCCTGCAGACTTTTACGCCGTTAACGCACGAGTCATAAAGGCAAGCATGGACTCTGCATGCTTCCCAGATGGGCACTGTAAACGATTCTGCGCTTCACCTTGCAAAGGATGTAAGGGGGTGCCCAATAAAGAAGCCCCTTCGGGGGCAAGCTAAAAAAATTATATATATATATATATATATATATATATATATATATATATATATATATATATATATATATATATATATATATATATATATAAATAAATAAATAAATAAATAAATAAATAATAATAATCATAATAATAATAATAATAATAAAGAACCATAAAGAAATAAAAAAAAGATCAACAGTGAGAAATTATATACTTTACGTATGTTGCGTTGTCAATAGTAAGAGAAACAACTGAGACCTGCAATTGTGTGTAAATGAGGCAGAGTCAGATCAGCAACCTGGGACTTGGTCACAATTTTTGTGATTCCATATTGCAGCAGGGTCTACCATTAGACAATACATTATGCCTCCAATTTCTTCCCAGGCGGTAGTACCTCCCTGTTTGGTAGTGTGGACAAAAGAAACAGCTCGAATACCCTGGCTGCCGTAACATGAACCGAACGCATATAATAGATATCATAAGTGTAAATTAAACCCAAATACCTGTAGCCGTATATAAAATAAACACCAATCTATACCATTTTTATTCCAGTGACTCGCATTTGACGACTAAAGTATCTTGTGTCTTAATTCCTTTTCATATTATCTTTTAATATAACCTCACTTTTGTCACACATTCTTGTGTCAATGACATGTGGTATATAATTTTATCTAGCGTCAGATAATCTTTGTTATTATTTTATTGTATTCAACTCTCCATATTCATACAAAATAAAACTCACTACTGTAGTTTTACAGCTACTACCACCATTAGTTCAGCAACATCTACTACTAGTCTAGCCAGAGTACAACACTATCTAATACTACTACTACTAAAACTACTAATAGTATGAATAGGAAAATATATCACATTACTACTTCTGCTAAAACTTCTGCAAATATTATCACTTGAACATTGGATGGATAGACTTTATACTGCTAATCAGTAATAAAACGACAAAGGTCATGAAGTTCATGAGCTTAATGTGGGTAAAGGTAGGAGATTGTAGGTACGATGACAAGCTACTTAATAGCAGTCTTTTACTTCTTAATTTTCTCTTTTGCAGATACGAACTGTAGAACAGGTGCGATTACTTTTTATTTTTACTGGTTAGATGACCTACTCAGGGGTGTACATTGATTTTTATTAAAGGGGAAAAAACT